TTTTTTTTTTTTTTTTTTTTTTTTTTTCTATTAAAATCTCGATCGAAATAATTTTTTATTTTATACCATCGAAAAATGTATTAGAAATACATTTTTTTTTTGTTTTGTTTTGTTTTGTTTTATGACAAATTTCAATTAAAATAATGAATATATGATATGGTTCGTTTGGGAGTAAACATAAAAACGATTAAAAAATATTGTTCGTATGCAGAAATATACATATATTTGTATATATGTAAATATTTTGTTTCCCTGCATGTTGATATTTCTGATAATTGGACAGACGACATTACGACAAAGTAATTTATTCCAAAGATAATTTATCCCTCTCTCTCTCTCTCTCTCTCTTTAAGATAATTTAGACATGGAAAACGATGATAGAACCCAACGGCAGAGTATATTCAATCGAACGAATCCCGTTTAAAGCAATTTGAGGTTCCCGTTTTGGTGAGTTGGATGGGTGACGTCATTAAACACGTTTATAGGTGCGAATCGAACTTTAATCATACGTCCCGTATGGGTACGTTTTACTACGAAACACAAGGGAAAAGAAAGAGAGAGGTAAAAATATGGAAGACAACAAATTCTTTTCGCGTTGTTAACTATTCCCCCACCCCCTCCTCCCTACCCATTTTTCCTATTTCTTTCCCTCCCACCCTTTCTTTCTTTCTTTCTTTCTTTCTTTCTTTCTTTCTTTCTTTCTTTCTTTCTTTCCCGTGCATGGGCAAATATTTGCCCAGACTAAAAACACGAAACGCAAATGGACGAATAAGAGATAGATAAAAAAAAAAATTGAGATAGATATATATATATATATATATAGAGAGAGAGAGAGAGAGAATTACATCTCTATATATTTACCGCGAATAATATACTTGAACATTTTCCGCTTTTAAAAGGATTTTTCTTTCCCCCCCCGCCCCGCCCCGTGCTTCATTTAACACAGTAATAAACGATAATGCACTTTAAAATCCTTCTCCAATCTTTCTCATATTAATTTAATTTCTACGCTTGGCGAGATACGATAATCCATTTAAATATACGCAACCGAAATGACGATTTGTATAAACGAACGTATATATCGAGAAAGAGAATATAGGATATAATCGTTACGTAAAGATCAAATATAACCTTTATCTATCCTATCGAAGTAAAATCATTTATCTAGATAAATCATTTTCGTCAGGAGGCAGGAACGTGTTCGTATTTTAAACCTAATTATTTATATTATGAACATTTGTCGTATATATAAAAATAATAAAGAGTACAAGAAAAATTATTGAATCGTTATTTCACGTATATATTATTATTATATATATGTGTGTCTGTTTGTGTGTGTGTGTGTGTGTGAAAGAAAATATTTTCGATACGATGTTTGATTATAATTTTAAAAAGATATTAATTCAATTTTAAATATCGTTACTTGTCGTTTCGATGATCTTAGAATTAAACAAACCAACAAAACACAAGTGTCTAACAATAAGAAGCGTTTCTCCCCCCACCCTCTAAACGCGTTATAAATAATTAGATTAACGTTAAAAATTATTCGAAAAATTTGTGGTCAACCGGTTCAAACCGATCGTATTTTTGTGCGTGCATGAAATTCCGTGCCTGCCGAAACTTGAATTCTTTCTTTCGTTTTTCTTTTTTTTTTGTCAGCACGACAAAATCTGGTAATAAAGACGAGAAGGTAATGGGGAAGGTAAAGGAAGGTGAGGTGGGCAGGGGGGTGTGTGGGATAAGAGGAAAGGTGAAAGGAGATGAGATAAAAAGATAAAAAGAGACACGGTCCTACCAAAATGAACGAGTAATTAAACGGTGACCAGTGGGACCGGCTATGAAAAGTCGGATTGAATCAAATTTTAATTGAAATTAGTTTTATTTTTCTTCTTTCGTAATCTCTCTTTTCTTCTTTTTCTTCTTCTTTTCGCGCCCAGAATCGAGGTAGAAAAAAAAAAACATGGAAGTTTCTTTACTCAACTGGTGCTTTGATCAATGACGAAAAAGATAGGAGGAGGAGGGGCGGTTGTGGGAATAGGGTTTGATCCTAAATTGAAGTATTTTCTTAAAGGATCCTAATTACTTTTACATTACGACACTTTAACGGTCCTCTTTATTTCTTTTTTTTTTTTTCTTTTTTCTTTCACATCCCCTGTTCTAATTTTACGACGATAAAAAAAATAATCCTTTTTCTAATATATTTCTCTTTTATTTATTCTTTCTTTTTCTTCTTTTTTTTTCAAGTAGTAAAAACTCAACTTTAACGCGTGGAAATTAATTAAAGTGTAAATATATGTGTGTTGAATGTTAATCGTAAATGATGATGAAATATAAATAAATGCGTTGATGTGTTTGTGAGTGTTCGTGTAAATTGGATTAATCTTTTTATCGAGTCAGTATTTTCTAATTTTGAAAATGTTTTAGTTAATATTTTTTTATTTATATAAATAAATCGTCAGCATTTATAATAAAATTTATTCACGGTGTGTAAATCATTACCAAACTTTTTTTTTCATCAATCCCCTATTTTATATAAATACCGACAAATTATTATTTCTAACTAACAACATATATATATATATATATATATTTTTTTTTTTTGTCTGCGCCTAAAAGCATTTATTTTTCTCCAAAAATATTTGTAATTAATTAATTAATCAAAAAAAAAAAAAATACTGACTCGAATAACAACAATAATAATAATAATAATAATAGTAATAAATGTTTATAAAACTCGATCGATCGGATGAAAAAAATTCGATCGATCTAATTTACAATAATTAATAATTAAATCAACATTATAAAAGGAAAAATCTGTCGATAAAAATGAAAATGAAATAAATGAATGAAACAAAAAAGAAAAAAAAAAAAAAGAAAATAAAAACAATCGAAATGGAAGGATTGACAGACCTGTGGATATCCTCCGATCGAAGGAATCCCTCGAATCTCGTTGTCCTCTCCATTCCAGTGTTTCTTTATTTTTTTTTTTCTAATTATCTTCAAGTAGTTTAAGAAAGAAACAAAAAAAAAGGAAGTAATCCGTCGGATTGGAGGAGAATCATTGAAAAAAAAAAAAGAAATAGATCTCTTCGAATAAATCGTACGAAAAATATTCGTATCGATTTCTTGTTTTTTTTTTCTTCAATAATTTCAATCGGATCACATTATTCCGGAAATCCTTATTTTAGGATCTTCCGGCGTGGCAGAGATAAAAATGACGAATCTTCGATTGACGATTATTTTCGTTAAACGCAATGTGTTTGTTTGTTATATTATAATCGATTTTCTTCAAAATTATTTTTATTAAAATCGTGTGCAACAACAAATGCAACAACAACAATCGGATCGCGGGAGGACGGGCTGAATAATAATAATAACAATAATAATTCTCGATTTCGATATTATTCTTCGATAATCGAGTTTAAAAGGTTAGTTAATATAATATAATATAGATCGAATAAAATAACAATAGTAGATAAAGACATAGAGAAATAGAGAGAGAGAGAGAAAATATGAAATCGATACACTTGAATGTATTTTGTATCGTCTTCAAGAAGAAATGTTTTCCTACAATTGGACGGCTTGAAAAGGTATCTTCTTCTCGCAAGATGGCAAATTATTTTTTGATCGTTCTTACATATTTGTATTTGTTTTTTTCTTTTTTTTTTTTTTTTAAAACGATCGAAACAGGTGTAAATATCGATAGAATAATATCAACACCACGTGTACGTTCATTTCGTTCATAGTATTGCATAGATGTTGGTTTAATCGTCAACACAAACACGTCAACAGTATAATCTGTGACTCGTGTCCTTGCGTAATTTCACATTGATTCTTCTTCCCAATTGTCAATAGGGTTATCATCAATTTTTTCCTTCGGACATTCGTGGAATTAAATTCTTTGATATTGTGTTTTGTCCTGTCTTCCTTCGTTCGGAAAAGAATAAAATAAATATCCTTTTATCCTTTGTGTTGTCACATATACGGTACGTATACGTAAAATACATCGAGGGAAGAGTTTTTAATAGATGATTTTTGATTGATGGAAAATTTATAACTTAATCGATGACGAATTAATATATTCAAAGCCAATACTATTATTTTGAATTATTTTATATATTTTGATATAACTTTTGGAATTGGCAATCAACGATTAATCATTGGGGGGGAATTCATCCCTCTTTAAATATATTTTTCTTTTTCATTTAATATAATACGTTTGAAAAATATGATAATCAAATGATATTATTATCAACGGTTCCTTCTTTTATTTTTAGTTTATTTTTTAGATTTTAGGTATGGTGTGACAAAAGGATGGGGTTCGATTTAAATTTAACATATAACTTGTACATTTGTCAAGTATATGGAGAGGGGCGGAGGAGAGGGGGGAGGGAGGGGGGGGTCACAGGAATGGGGATTTTTCTTTTTTTTGTGGTTATTATTATCCGCAACCAGGAATATATCAGGTATCGATAATGTTTATCGTATTATGATATTCTTTTCTTTTTTTTTCTTCCTTTCTTCTCTTTTGTTTCTTTTCTCTTCGTTTCCTTGGAATTCATGTTTTATCATCGCCGTGGCGTTTTTCATCGCGAATTTTTTTTTTTTTCATCGTATCCATTTACATCGATCTTATCGACGAAAAACGTTGATTAACATCTCTCTCTCTCTCACTCTCTTTCTCTCTCGAGCAAAATTTCTTTCAAATCTTCCGAGGAAGTCCTTCGTTGTTTTTACTTTTCTTTTTTTTTTTTTTTCTTTTTTCCTTTTTCCGTCAAAAAATAACATCTTGAAGATGCGATTTGACTCGAACGAAAAATTAACAAAATATATATTTCTTTTTTTTTTTCTTTTTTTAACGTTACATATATATAAAGAAATTATATATTTTAATTTTCAATCGCGACGAGATCAAATTATAAGAGGGTGGTAATCGTTAATACGAAATAAATGTAAAAGAAAATTAATGGAGTCGACAACAACAGCAACAACAAAAATTTTCATACGAGAAAAGAAGAGAATTTGAGAGAATCTGGGAATCGGATTAATAATTTTTCCTATGTGGTGGAAATTTTCTATTGTTTTATATCAAATCGAAATGATCGAATGGACGTATTAATAACCATAACTCGCATATTTATTATATTTCGTATTTTATGGAATACGGATAATATCTTGAAAGCCGTGTTTTATTTTTCCTCTCTCTCCTTTTTTCTTTCTTTTTTTTTTTTTTTTTTTTTTTTTTTTTGCGGTATACACTCGAATGATTCGTGTAATTCATTGAAACACAAATGCGGTAACGCTGATCGATACGAATTATTGATCGAAATTTACGAGGAAGGAAGTTAGATTCTTTTTTTTCTGTCTCTTTTCATATCATCAAGGATTTTTTTTTATTTACGTTTAATTAATAATATGCATTTTTTTCCTTTTTTTTCCTTTTGATAAATATATCTTTGATAATAATTAATTTCCCTGTAATAAATATAATATGAAAATACTCGAATGATTTGAAATATTCTTTTTCAATCAGCGTAACGCATAAATTCTATCAATTTAATATAACGTTGTAAAACAGAAAAATGTAGAAAAGATGTTAAAGGAATTCGATCTCGTCGCGTATATAGGAGAAGTCCCCTTTAACAAAAAAAAATAAAGTAGATATTAAAAATATAAAAATGATATTTCAAAAATATATAGATCAACGTTTTCGTTCAATTTCAACAGTTTAATAAAACAAAATCTCGAGGAATATACTTTGTAATCGATAAAATTGTATAAAACAACAAAAACAAATCTAAAGATTGATTTCAAATGACGATTAGATAGATTTTAAATATAATAAATGAACAATTGATATAATATTACTTGAATTTTTCCTTTTTTCTTTTGCTTCTCCTCATCTTCGGACGAAGAAAATGTAGTCAAGAAAATGCGTTCAGGATGGATCCAATAAATAGATATTTTCGTGATACAACAAATGAATCATTCTCTTTCTCTCATAATAATAATTAAAAAAAAAAAAAAGGCTCGTTATAACAGTCCCGTCCTCGGCGACAAAGAAACCTGGTAAATTTCGTTTACCGGTATAAACAGTGTCGCGCGAAATATATGATTTAAAATAATAATAATAATAATATTATTAAATGACGTATCGAAATCGACGCGCCGTTTTCGCCGTCAATGGCGATGATAATAATCGCGGACGGCAATTTGGCGCATCGTTACCTGGTTTACTGAAATTCGTGAACATGAAACCTCCTCGGCCCCCGGGATTGCCAGAGGCGGCGCACGTTACATTGCAGCTTACAGAAACAGTCCGGAAGTTAATCGGTCGTTTGTTTTCTTCCCCCACGAAGAGATTCCTTCTTCCTTATCCTCTTCTTCCTCTTCCTCTTCTTCTTCCTGTTCCTGTTCCTTTCTTCGTATAATCGACGAAACGAAATCTTCCAGACGTCGAATCTCGATTATTTTCTATCTTCAAGGACGAATCAATTATCAAAACAATTCTTCTCCTTTTATTTTCAATCGTCTTTCACTAGTTTATCAAAACAAAAAAAAAGTTATATTTTACCGAATTCAACGGGGGGGATTAGTGACAGCAACAACACGACGAATAATAATAATAATAATAATCAGTCAACAGTCTTCTTCAAAATTCACACTCTTCTTCTTCCCCTTTTTCTCTCCCTTTCTCTTTTCGGACGAGGACTGAAGGGGGAAATGAGAAAAAGTTAGTGTTAAAGACGTCGACAACCCAACGCGAATATTAATGTATTCCCCGAACGGTAATAATCGGTAAGAGGTGACCTTCAACTTGTCCCGGCCATGATCTCCCGCGCGCGGGGCCGCGCGCGCGCCACGCCACGCCACGTCGGACAACGACGACGAGAAAAGAGAGGGAGGGGTTGCTTCAAATCGAAGTGGATCCCACGAGCCACCACCACCAACTAACGACGACTACGACTACGACGACGACGACGATCAAAATGAGGACGACAACTGGGAAGAGGAAAGGGGTTGCAAAAGATCGATCACGTCTTTTCTTTTTCTTTTTTTTTTGTTTTTTTTGTTTGTTTCTTTGTTACTTTCCTTTTAGTTCCTTCTTCGGAATTTCCTTCCTTCTTGACGATTATTACGATTATTATTACGATTACGATAATACGGATAAAGATTAACGACACAGAAGAAGAATATACGTTGGGATGTAACGCGACACGCAGCAGCAACGACAGCAACAACAGCAACAGCAATAGTAGTAGCAGCAGCAGCAGCAGCAATGTTAATCAGCAACGACTAGAACAACGGCAACGGCAACGGCTACGGCTACGGCACCGGAGGAGAAATCGCAGCGTCGTGCGAACCAGCTTGGCCGCGGAACGCGACTGAGGGAACTAGGGGTGGCACCGACAGAGAGAAGGTGCCGTGGATGCACCTCGACGTGTACGCTGCACGAGCACATCCCCCCTAATGAGTGCACCAGGCATGTGCGAGGGATTTTATGTTCCACCACCGCCTCCTCTCTTCCTCCTCATTCTCCAACCCCTAACTCCATTCCCACCACCACCACCACCACCACCAACGCCAGAACTACTAGTCGAACCACCACCCGAGAATCGCTAGCCACCCCCACCGTGCGATCTCTTTTCGTCATCCTCCTCCTCCTCCACCACCTCCTCCTCCTCCTCCAGCTCCGACTACGTCTCCTCTGCCGCCACCTCTATTCTATTGCAACTCGCGCAACCCCTGTTCTTCCTTACTTACTTACGCTTGCACGTTCCTCCCTACTGTACGACAAAACTCACAATCAGACTTCCACGAGGTATCTGACCGTTAATCGTCGAACCTAAATCCTCGATAAAACATTCGGTTATCATATGTTTTTCTTTTAGGGACCCCTTCTAGAATTCTGACATACATTTGTTATTTTCCTTCATTGTTCATTCCATGTCAATGATACTATATATTATCTAGATGTGAAAACGTAACATCATTTTGCATATCTGTTAAAAAAGGATTTGAAATAATGACAAACTTTTGTCTTTCGAGATAATAATTAGAGAGTTACTTGGATCGGTGGTACCACGGCACCTTCATCGTCACCGTCACCGTCACCGTCATCGTCACCACCACCGTCACCACCGGCAGCACCGCCACCACCGGCAGCGCACCCCATCGACACGCTGGGAGCACCAGCCAGTCCCCGGCAGAAACGGCAAGGGGCGGCTTGTCCCGCGAGCCGGTAATCCTCATCGCGGGTTCGTGGGGCTGTGCCCGGTTTTCACCTCCTCCTGCGTGCCCGCGGACCGTACCCTGCATCCGCTTGCGATTGGTACGCACTAGTCAGCCGCCCGTTACCGACGATCCTCTCCTGCACCTGCACGACCCTCTCTCTACGCACACCTACCTACCCTTCCCCTCTCTTTTTCTTCCAATATCCAACCCCATTTCCATGCCTACCTGTTTACCAATCCACCCACCCACCACCACCACCACCACCATCTTCACCTCCACAAACTCCGCCATCACCAGCTCCACCACCATCAGCTCCACCACTACCATCAGTTCCACCATCATCCAACTATACCATATCATTCTCTTTCACTCACTTTTAACAGCACACTTTTCATTTTTCTACATCTTTATTCCGTTTATATTATCTTAGATTTTTGTTTTAAACCGAAATACCAGTCGATGGGGGTGGTTGGGTGTATCCGTTTATTTCCTTAAAGTTATTCCCCATTTGTTTCAACCTTTTATCCTTTGTACAACCATTTCGCGATTTATTGATTTTTCTATTTCGAAAAAATACCGAATATAATTTGTCTGACGAAGAACTTTTTCTCCCCAAGTATTTTCTTCACCGAAAAAATCTTTAATCGTAACCAACCAAAAGTACGAATCATGATCCGTTGATTCTCGATAAAAAAATATATGAGCCGTTTATTTTGAAAGTGGCATAAGTCACTTTTTTTTTCTTATTGAAAATGAAAAGATACCGTTCAGTTGTAATTAGTGTTGCCATTAACTCGTTTTTTTCTTGAAAAAGTGACTTATGCCACTTTCTAAATAAACGGTTCATATATCCTTCTTCTATTTTAACCAACCATTTCGGGTTCCTGTCACCTCAGTTGCACTTTCGCATTCCATCCTACGTATTTCTGTAACCGAACAACGTTCTCATATTTGACGAAGATCGCTGAGAACGTGGAACAAGGTTTACCTGTAATCCGAACAATCGAGTTCCTTGCGAGTCAACACCAATGACAATGCCCGACCCTTTTCATCAACACCCTCTCCACTAAATTACGATGATCCCTTCGACAAAACAGTGACAGTTATCTTCAAATTATCGCGTTTTATTCTTAACAATCATCCGATTCATTATTTGTCGTGCCATTAAAAAAGAATATTCGTTAACGGGTGGTATCTCGATGATTAATCGAAATTTTCTCGTCACTCAACTTCTTTTTCCAATTTCTTTTTTTTTAAACTAAAAAGTAACGATCTGTAATAATTGGTGGTGGGGGGGGAGGGGGGAAAGGAAAGAAAATAAAAAGAACAAGAAACTCATTTAAAGTTCGTCCGTTTTTACTTTGATATTTTACCTTTCATTTTCTAATGTAAGTTCAAAGTATAAAATAAATTTCCCGAACGTGCCGATATATCGGATGGTGTAAGAAGTAAGAACGGAACAAGTCAAACCCTTAGTATTTTAGATCAAGGTCTCCAACTAGAAATTGTGACGGCACGCGAAGGGTGTTCTAAACTACTAATAACCGAGGGCGTGTGTATTAAGTTCCTCTAATATTAACTCAAGACGAAGGGTGGCAATTTCTAATATATCCGTATACACACACACACACAGAGACTTAATCTCTCTCTCTCTCTCTCTCTCTTTCTCTCTCTTTCTTTTACTTGTGTTGGCGTAATGATTCGCCCCATTACAGCACAATCGTTTAACGTGTTAGTAGACGTTATACTAATTATAAATGTTACGTCGCCTACATTACAAGCCGTATTATACCTTGTAAATCTTTTTATATAGATTTTTCTTGACTTTCCTTTTATCAAACGTTTTTTCAAAGTATACAAATTCTCTTTTGATATCCAACCGTGTACAAGAAATTTTTCTTCTATTTATTTCATTTTTTTTTTACTTCCATTATATATTCTTTACGTTTAAAGCGAAACGACACAACGGAACTCAATGCAACTTAAACTCAAGATACCAAGAAAAGAGAAATAAAATAAAGATGACGAACAATGTCTATAACATTCAACGATAATATTTCTTTTTTATATTCTTCTCATTGTTAGATTATCATGGCGTTGAATGAGATTTAATCCATTAATCTTCCATAAAGAAGATTCGGGAATATTTTCTTGTAGCCGTCGTATTCAATGGATTTTCATCCAGCCTTATTTCTAAAGTGAAAAATCTTTTCTTCACACCGTGCTAAATAACTTAATTCAACCGTTCAGAATATGGTGGTATTTGTAAATTGTACTAAGGGATGAACATAAGCTTCATAATTGTTACAAACGACGGAACGCGAATTCTTTTGATTATTATCGTACGTTTGAATAAATTTACGTTGTTTAACGATATTTTCTTTTCTATCATAAATTTATTTCTACTACAAAAAAAAAAAAAAAAGAGAAGAAAAAGAAGAAGAAGAAGAAGAAGTAGAAGAAGACAGGAAAAAACTATTCTTCCATACTTCCGGGCAAACGTGCCAGACATTTTGAACGAATTTTCTTGTATCTTTCAAATAGATTAAGCAAATGGATGGGAAAAAAATTTTAATATTTTTTTCTCTCGACAATTTGCTTCTGTTTTCTTTCTTTTTTTTTTTTTTTTGCAAACTAAAGAAGAAATCCATTAACGAATCTTGACGAATTTCGCGATTAGATTAGATTCGTTAATGAAAGACGAATTTTTATTTTATCAAGAGGAAAATGTTTCTTTATTATATACCGCGAAATTTGTTTATAACAATAATTTAAATTATAACTTTAATTCAATGAGATAATTCGATGAACATAGAAATTAATAATAAAAATGACATTATTATTATTATACTAAAATTGATAATAATACAGGCAGAGCAATAAAAATCGTTTGTATACTTCGTAATAATAATAATAATAATCTTTAACGAATTATTTATTTGAATATTTTGATATATTCATTTGTTCGCATTTGTTCGCACGAATTGTTCATAATTAGTATGTCCATCTATATATTCGATACACAATTTATTATTAATTTAACGTATAACGGAATACAATCGAGGATTGGTGTCCCGAATTTGAAATTACTGTTATATTAACTGTTGCAATTCGTACAAATCTTTCGTTCTCACGTTTGCAAAGAGAAAACAATTTTTATCTCATTCTATATACAATCAATCGTATAATTATAATAATTATAATTCGCGCAACGAAAGAATTTTTTAACGATTGTGTACAAAATATTCGACGAACTAACCAATTTGTTAGAATAATAATTGAACGAAAAAAAATAACAAACGATAAATTACATTAATTTACAATATTTAAATTTTTATACGTTGACGTGAATTTTATGATTGATAATGTTCACTTACGACTTGTTTTTCTCAACATCAACAATTTTTGTGCAAAGAACTCGAGTTATTTTATTTTTCATTGTTATCATTTATGCTTATTTATTAATCGATATAACGTGAGTATTTTTAATGTGTTAAGATTAATATCTGAGAACAAAATTCTACTTATATATTTCGAGAAATTTTTGTATAACATATGTAATCAACAAAAGTTACAATTATTTCGTCAACAAATTTACTGTAAATTAATTTTATTTTTATCAATATATATTTTGGTGATTAAGAAAAATCGTAACAATTTTCAGCTTAGTAAATAAATGTAATAAAAACAAAAAAATATAATAGAAAAACTAGAAAGAGTGAGAGAAAGAGGAATAAAAAAGAACATAGAAGTTATTGATAAGAGTAAAAAGGGTCGAGTTGGAGAAGGAATACGATCGTAATGATTAAATGAAAAGTTCTTTACATTACAAAAGACTCTTCTCTTTTCTCTATTTTCTCATTTTCTCGATGTTCTTCAATCGCTCTTAAAGTAATTCTTCTACTACCCTGTTTCGAACGTTTCGTATTAAAATATGCATAGCGATTTAAATGTAGCAAAAATAAAAGAGTTTTACCGATGGAATAGGAAAGAACAAAAAAAAAGGAGCAACTTCTGTTATGAAATAATATCATTTTCAAGATTTTTATCTTCGCGTACTTAGACATTCCTTCCTTGCGAATTTTTACATTCCTTCAAACAGTCAGCAATTGCTAATTGAATTCTTTTACTTATTAATATTAAATATTCATTCACACTTTCTATCTCTCTTACTCTTATGTATTTACACCTAAGAGTATAGCAAATTTTATGGAATAAAATGTAAACTGAAGGATGTAGGATTCAAAATAAGCGAACCTT